TCTTATAGCAGGGTGGGAGACCAAATACGCACCGAAAAGGGATGAGTCACTCAGCAACGAGAGGTCACGGCAGCCTTTAACTCAATGAGCAGCATTTATTTCTCCAGGAAAACAATTTCGCTGTGCAAGTACCTTTGGCTACGGGGAGAACAGACCTGACAGGTTATCACATTTACCGGGGATATCGATTGGGCTGTGAAAGGAATAGCAGATGCAATTATGGCCTGGGGAAATGTGGTGAATGTACCTGGGACTGGGTGCTGCTGGTGAATATCTTACCGAAAGAGAGAATCTGACTCTTTGTTATGTTATGCAGGGTTTTGGCATCTGGGAGACCAGCTGGCTTGCTAAAAAAAGCAAATCACATAAATCGAGTAACATTTAATGCGAACGCGTGAGGCCTTCAGTCTAATATTATTTCTGCAAGCCAAGCAGTTATAAATAGGTGACGGCGCCTAACTTGGGACCTGAGTGGAAGAAGGGCTAAGGAGTTCACCGGCCGCTCGACCGCCACCATGCCGCACCGCTTGCAGCCTAACGCGTGCCTGTATGAGCACAGCGGAGCAACCGTGGCTGCGGCTGCAGACAGGGTTTTGTCCTAGAGCGCGCGGCGGGCCCAGCCTTAATACTGCCATAGCCAGCGGTGGGGAGAAAGGCCTGGAGGTGCGGAGATGGAGTGGTCCCCAGGGAGATGGGGCTGGGGCAGCTGTTGGAAGGAGGTTCCCGGGGAGGTGGTAACCGCCAGGCAAAGCCCAGGCCCCGGCTGCTGCGTCCGTGGGAGCTGCAGGGCCTCCCCGCGGAGGAGGACACGGCACAGCGCAGGGATGGGCTGGTTCAGGCTGTCCCTCTGGCTCCAGTACCACGCAGAGGACCTCCAAGGACGGGGTATGGATTGACGCCGTCCCGCCCGTCTGCCTTTGCTCTCTGACGCAGCGGTGCCGTTTGGCAGCGGGGAGCGAAGGAGAACGGGATACGACAGCTCCCAGGCATCTTTTTCCAGCGCTGACCACTGTGCAGCCCCCTTGTGCCCCCAGGTCAAGCCCGCTGAGGGTGAGCAGCTCGGCAGCAACGTCTTGCAGCGTCCTATTGCAACCTGAGCCTCATCCGAGCTCGGCCCTTCGCTCGGGCCAGCGAGGCAAAGGGAGCTGCTCCATCCACGGTGCTGGCCCGGAGCAGAGCTGCGTTGGTGGTGATGCCAGGAGCGAGGCCCTCTCCCTGAACGAAGCATTATTTGGACTTAATTGGTGATAACTGCTGGCTGTGAGTGATACAGGCAGCCTGGTTGTGTGGGAAAATTCCTCTATAAGACAGGGTGCAACTGAGGAAAGCAATGCGCAGAGGGCAACGTGCTGCCCGTGCAGAGAGTCTGGAGGTGACAGGGCGCCCCACAGCAAGCCCCAGGGTTGCACCCCCGGGGGCTGCCGCACAGCTGGGCATGTCTGAAGCCCCGACGGCATGCTCTGTCCCTGGTCGTGTCTGCAATCTGCAGCAGGAGGCTGAAGCCTCCAGGGGATTCCTGGCAGAAAGCCCTTTTCCATGGGCAAAGCAGAAACACGAGTCCCGTCCCGATAGCCACTGCCACAGTGCCCAAAGAGGGGAGGTGGGGTGAACATCTGCCACATTAGCTCCAAAGCCACCTGCCCAGTAGAGAGCCAAATGGCACAAGATGCACAGCGAAGGCCTCCACGGGCTCTGTGGGCTGAACCATTAGGGGGAAGTCTGTGTCAAAACCTGCCTGCTCTTGGGGATGAGCACGACCCAGCTCTAGGCAGCTGGCTTTTGTGGCCACAGCTGGCGGTGGAGGAGACAAATCTCTCAGTAGGTGTGTAGCTATCCCCCCTCCTTGCTATACCTCCAGTTTATAACTCCTCATGCCCAGACTGACCTCGATAGCTTTCTTCAGCCCCAAAGGCAGCAAACTCAGCAGCATGACCATGGGTAGGACTGGAAGGCAAGGGAAGTTTTTATTTTCCTTTCCAGTGCCAGATGGGTGAGAATCACAGGGTGTGCTTCATGGGTGAACCTCAATAACAGACTCAGCCTGGAAATATGGGGCAAAATCCCCTTCCAGAGAGCCGTGGTGGCACATTCAGCAACGGCGGCTGGTGAAGGGCAAGCTTCTGCTCGTGGGGACCTGAGGAAAGGGTTGCGAGAAGTGACACAGCACATGAAATAGTGACGGACTTGCAGTCCCGTCTGTTTAGCACACACTCGCCTCACCGGTTCAGCCGCCGGGAGAACCTGGACCAAAGGTGCATGGGTATTTGGTGGCTACAAATCACAGACTGTGGGATGGCTGGTAGCTCTCAATCCTCTCATATAAAGGGGACAGCTCAAGTGTGGTTCATAAGCCAGAAATTCAGAAACAGCCAGGCTTTGCCACCTGGGTCTATTTGGAAGGGTCATGCTGGGAATACCCAAACGAGCATCATCTCCTTTTGCTGTTCAGCGCCTCAGCTCCCACCCCAAGAGAGACTTAAATATGAGACTTTAAAGTTAGCTAAACGTTTCTGACCTCAGAGAAGCCTCAAACTCATGTTCCTGTCTAGCTCAGGTGGTTTGCCTGCCTCTAGGCTGCAAAAGCCTAGTTGTAATTTGATTCCCTATAACTGATTCATGGCAGATGTGGAGCCCTGATGCTAGGGACAGCTGTGATTTTTATGCTGCCATTTGCTGTGCTCCAAGGACCCTGCACAGCAACTGAGCATGGCTGGAGAGACAGGGCCAGGGCTGGAACACAGCACAGACAGCTGGGCCAAGCAAAAACAGGAACATCTTTGCATTTGCAATTCAGAGAGGATGTGTCTCATCCCTCCGATTCATCCTTCCAGAGAAAAGACTAGAGAGAAGCAGCTGGAAAATATCTGCACACAAATAAGACTTAGTAGAATTTGCAGTTTTGGAGTAGAGGAAAAAATGTGGCCCCCAACACAGTGCCTCCACTGCAAGATAGAACAGGTATTCCCATTTTATTTTATTCATTCCCCACCAGCAACCTCCTGTGCCCGCAGGTAGGGAGCAGCCTGGGAGAATTTTCACAGGGCAATTCACAACTTCCTCAGCTGGGAAATCGCTTGTGGCCCTGGGACCTGAGCCTCTGGGGCTGGCGGTGCTGGCGATGGGGACCAGTCTGTGGAGCACCGCTAGCAGGGAAAGAAAAACTCAACTTGCTGGAATCATACACAGGCAGCATCGAAAGAAGCTGGGACCTGCTGTAATCCAGGCAGGCTGGGAAATGCAGTCAGTTTAGCAGGATGGTGCTTGTTCCCTGGGCTTCAGCTTCAGCTGGCAGAGCAGGAAGAGACAGGCTGATTTTTACTATTGGATGCGCTTTTCCCCAGCTGAGGTTCTGGGGCCTATTTGTTTCCCAGCGACTTATTAGCATCAAAACAAGCCATTTGCTGCCAACTATCTGCTCTGGAAGTGAAGCTCCAGGGGCAGCAGCGGGGACTGCTGCGGTCCTGCACCAGGGATTCACCAGCCCCGGCTGAAGGCCAAACTCAAGCCTCAGCCAAAGCCTCTGCTCAGCTCGCCGGCGGGCCTGGGATGCTGCGTCCTTCCTTCAGCCACGCACATGCACACAAACACACGCACGTGTACACACAGGCATGCTGTGCCGGGGCTGGGAGCGGGCTGCGGCTGGCGGCGGGGGGGGCCCCGCAGAAATGCTAGCGCTGCCTTCCTGCTCCGCTGAGCCCTGTAGGTCCAGGCTGTTCCCTGCCGGCTGCTGGGGGACCTGTTTCTCTGCACTATCAATTCCTGCTCTGCTAGTCCATGCTGTGCATGGGGATCTGGGCATCACGGGGATGAGCTGAGCAGGGTCCTCCCTCCCTGCCCGGGGCTCTGGCCACATGTGGTGCTTCCCAGAGAAAAGAGAAGTTTTTGGAAATTTTTGGTGAAGGAGAACAAGCCCATGTTTCTCCTGGCACCATTGCTAGGTTATTGCACAAGCAGCCACACCAGTGTGAAGCATCTGCATCTCCAGCAGCTCAAATAAGCCTTGCCCAGCACTGCTGGAGCAACCAGTCAGACTGATGCAAAGAGCTGGCAGTACCTTTTGTTTCCTGAATAAACTCGTCATGGCTTTTCTTTCTAGGGCAGAGCAAGCTGAATACTCAGACCGTGCTGCAGACCCATGCTGGGCTGTGCTGGAGCAACGCTGACGGAGCTGATCCCGGCACCAAGGGCTGGGACTCTAAATACAGAAATTGCACGAGGACAGTTGACTCCTGCCCCCTCACCAGCAGATCTGCTGCTCCACGTTAAGGCTGTTCACATCAATGCGGAGTCCGGGGAGACCAACGCGACGTGATGCCTGCAGATCTTCCCTCCTGAGTACAGTCATGAGCTGGAACGCGGTAGCAGGAAT